ATTTTTAATTAATTTAATTTAATTAATTTAATTTAATTAATTTAATAAATTTAATTTAATTAATTTATTCTTTCTTTTTTATTGATAAAAACATTTAGCTGATATCTGCCTTAAATGCATTCCCTAGAGTCTGGCATGTAGTGTTGTCCTTGTTATTACTTCTTAAGCCCTAGCTGGTTTGGCTCAGTGGATAGAGCTTTTGGCCTGAGGACTGAAGGGTCCCAGGTTCCATTCCAGTCAAGGGTACATGCCCGGGTTGCAGGCTCAATCCCCAGTAGGGGGAGTGCAGGAGGCAGCCAATGATTCGCCCTCGTCATTGATGTTTCTCTCTCTCTCTCCCTCTCCCTTCCTCTGAAATTAATAAAAAAATATTTTTTAAAAAATTCTATAATATCCAGTTTGTAGTCCCCTTTCACCCTGAACTTATTTAATAGTTTTTAAAATTTCCAGATAAAGGACGTTTTTGTTGCTGTTGTTAACAAATTCTCGTTTTCAGCATTTGATCAGCATGTTTGTAAGAATTCTACTTTATAGAAATTACTGATATATTTTTAAATGTTTTTATTGATTTCATACTCAACACTGAAAAGAAATAATTATTGATATATGTAACAACTTGGATGTATCTCAGGGCATTATGTTTCCTGAAAAAGGCCAATCTCAAAATATTACATTTAGATGTAATCTAAATGATTCCTGTAAATGAATATAACACTCATTTATATAATACTCTCAAAATCACAAAGTTGAGATGGAGACCAAATCAGTAGTTGTCAGAGGACAGATTAGTAATGGGACCAGGGGCAGTGATGACTATTAAAGAGGTAGCATGAAGAAGTTCCTTTGTGGTGAGGGAACAGTTCTATATTTTTATTAAATTTACACGTGGGATCAAATTTCATTGAACTACACACACACACACACACACACACACACACACACACACACACACACACGAGTGCATATGAAAACTGAGATCTGTATTCTAGGTAACAGTATTATAGCACAGTCAATGTCACCTTCCAGGTATTGATATTGTCCTAAAGTTTGTAAGATGTCACTACTGGGGAAGCTGGGTGAAGGGCTCATGAAACTTTATGTACTATTTTTGTAATCCCTTATGAGTCTATCATTTCAAAAGTAAACGTTTTTTAAATGATAAACCAAATGAGTATTATCTTTATGCTATTATGATTCTGACATCTATTCCAATGTATTTTTTCCACACCACCAAGCAATTAATTCTGACATTATCTACCTTGAGATAGCATCAAACTCCACAAGTTCAGGGCTCAGTTCAGGCTCCTCCTCACTCCCCCATCTCAGATGCCAATCATAAGTCCAGGCTGTCACCTGTGCTTCTGATTGATCTACTAGAGATCAGAGGTTCCCACAACCCCCGCCTCGATTTAATGAATTTGCTATAGGGGCTCAAAAACTCAGAGAAACATTTAGTTACACTTACCAGTTTATTATAAAGGATATTATAAAGGATCTATAAGAAGTTAGATGGGTAAGGTATGTGAGAAGGAGCATAGTCCTTCCCCCGCCTCTCGGAGGACTGCACTCTCCTGAATCTCCACCTGTTCCGCTACCAGGAAGCTCTCCGAACCCTGCCCTTTGGGGATTTTAGGAGGCTTCATTACCTAGGCACGATTGAGTAAATCACCAGCCACTGGCGACTGATTCAACCTCCAGCCCCTCTCTCCTGGGGGGAGGGGTACAGAAATTTCCAACCCTTTAATACATTGTTGATTCCCCCGGCAACCAGCCCCCATCCTTAAGTGCTTTCCAAAAGGGGTTCATTAGGAATATCAAGACAACTTTATCACTCTTATCACTTAAAAATTTCCAGTGGTTTTAGGAGCTCTGTGCAAGAAATGGGGACAAAGATCAAATAGATATGTGCATCATCATATAATTCCCAATGATGAGGGCTCTCTGGAGCACTCCCATATCTTTCTTCCCTCTCAGGCACGCATCTTTACTTTTCTCTTCTATGCTATAAGGGTCCCATGAGACTTGCAAACAGGGGAGCAACAGGCAGCGGCAACTCATCCTGGGCTCACCCCCTGAACCTGCCTCGAAGGCCCCCTTTCCTCAGACCATGCAGTGAGCTAACAGCAGCCCGCCCTTGGCTCATTCTGTCACTGTGACTTCTTCTCAGTGAGCCCCTGCAGCCCAGCGTGGCTCCTCTCCCATAACGTTTCTAGGGAGACAAAGCAGAGCACCACCCAGGCTCTTTCCTGTGGCTTCTTCTATGCTAAGCCCTTCCTTTGTTTCACTGTCCCCAGTTTTAATAAACAAACTCTCAAAATAAATTTAAGAAAACACACACACACATTAATCCCAATAACATAGCAAATATTCTAAAATTTATCTCTTAATTTCAAACCTTTCCTCTAAGTTTTGGACTTTGTCTCCAATCCCTATATGACATCTCCATTTGGATGCCTCAGAGATATCTAAAACTTAACAAGCCTGAAGTAGAACCCTTAATTTCCCCATGAACCTATTACCTCTCGGTCTTTCCTAATAAAAGCTACTAGTTGCCCTAGCTGGTTTGGCTCAGTGGATAGAGCATCGGCCTACGGACTGAAGGGTCCCAGGTTCGATTCCAGTCAAGGGCACATGCCTGGGTTGCGGGCTCAGTCCCCAATGTGGGACGTGCAGGAGGCAGCCAATCAATGATTTTTTTCTCTCATCATTGATGTTTCTATCTCTCTGTCCCTCTCCCTCCCTCTCTAAAATCAATAAAGATTTTTTTTTAAAAAAAAGCTAGTTGCTGAAGCCAGAAACTTAATAGTAGTAGATTGCTCTTCCCTCATCATGAAATCCACACCATCAGAAAATCCTATTTGCAGCTAGATGTCAAATCCATTCATTTATCATGATCTCCACTAACCTCCCATTATTGCTCAACCTGAACTATTATTAACTTTGTAACTCTGATTCCACTCATGACAAACCCTTCACAACCACAACCATGGTGTTCTCTTATCATGACCTTTAGTTATTTTCCTTCATAGCATTCATAATCACCTGTCTTTATGTACATGTCTGTCTTCCACACAGGAACTCCACAAAGGCAGGCCAAGTGTCCGTTGCTCACCTCTGCACCCCACACACAGTGCCTCAATATCAACACTTAATACAAACATACTGGGTAGATGAGGAACTTGATTTTTTTATTTTATGAGAATATGACAGTGCTGATTTTCTGCTAACTAGGTTCCCTCGGATACAGGGAAATCTTGCCCTTTCCAAACACCATTGTTGTTGTTCTAATAGTTATCCTTCTCTTTTGCCTACTCTGCCTTTCCTCGAGAATTCAAAGTATTCAGAGATTGGAATTCCATGCTTTACTTTCATGTTATTCTAGCTAATCTCTTGTATAATCTTATATATACTGATAGCTATTTTTCTATGACACTATTTCAGTATTTGAGGTCAAGTAACTTGCCTAAAGATACAGACTTTGGAAGCTCTAGGACTAGGATTCAAATTCTGGTCTATTGACTCCAGAGACTATAATCACCAGTTTATACTGTCTCCCTTACTTTCTTTTCTTTCTTTCTTTTTTATTTATTTCTTGAAAAAAAATATAGCTGCTGGTTTCTTCTTTCAACAGCTTATTCTATCTAATAAAGAGGGAATATGCTAATTGACCCTCACACCATCTCAAAGATGGAGGTGCCCACAGCCAATAAGGAGGGAATATGCTAATTGACTGCCCCACCCTCAAAGATGGCAGCACCCACAGCCAATAAGGAGGAAATATGCTAATTGACTGCCCCGCCCTTGAAGATGGTGGCACCCAAACCAATAAGGAGGGAATATGCTAATTGACTGCCCCGCCCTCAGAGATGGCGGCACCCACAGCCACAAGATGGAGGTGCCCAGTCTCCTCAGCCCCACCGGGGCATCAGGTGCGCGGCAAGGCCGGGGTCTGCTCCCATGCGGGCCTGACCACTCCGCGTGCCTGCCTCCGAAGTCCCCCAGTCCGCTCAGCCCCCCAGCTTCCCAGGGCCAGCCCGAGGCTCAGGTAACCAGGACCACCCGAGGCTTGTGCTGCTGGCAGTGGCAGCAGCAGAGGTTGATGGGGCGTTGCCTTCCCCTGATCACCAGGTCTCCTCCCACCCCTGAGGGCTCCTGGACTGTGAGAGGGGGCAGGCCGGGCTGAGGGACCCCCCCCTCCAGTGCATGAATTTTCATGCACTGGGCCTCTAGTTTTAAAGAAGCAAAAATGGATGTCAGAGAAGGCAGGCAGTTTTTCCTAGCAATGGTAGATAGAAGAAGAAGAACTCAAGCCACAACTGTCTATGATCCATGCTTTTTTCATTACCTCAAAGATTCCTAATCAGAGGCTCACAAATTCCACAGAACTTTGGAGATCCATGGAACCACTTAGTCCATCTACTTAAGTCCCTTATTCTGGAAAAATGACCCATAGCTTCTCAAAGAGGTCTATGACTCCTTAAAAGTTAAGGACCAGTACTATACTGAATCTCTAAGAAAATGAACATGAACCCAAATATTTTTAAAAATATATATGATTTACAATGTACAAGTTTTTTGTTGCTGCTGCTGTTGTTTTGTCACTCCTTACCTGAGGATATTTTCCCATTGATTTTTAGAGAAAGTGGAAGGGAGGGGGAGAGACAGAGAGACAGAAACATCGATGTGAGAGAGACACATTGATGGTTGCCTCCTGCACACATCCCTGACCAAGGCCTGGGATGGAGCCTGCAATCTAGACCAGAATCAAACCCAGGACCCTTCAGTCTGCAGGCCAACGCTCTATCCACTAAGCCAAACCAGCTAGGGCTGTACAAGGTTTTTATAAATTCTATTTTCATTCTCACTAAACAAATTAAAGCAATACTCTCCAGCAAAATTTTTTAGAAAACATTTTATATAATTACCATTTTAACTCTACTTTTTTCTAATGGGTGTATATACTTTAAATACTAAGATATTATATGTAAAATGTGCCTTACACTCCTCAGGCTGGACAGATGAATAGCTCCCAAGATTTAATAACTGACTGGTAAATGTTGATTGTAGTACTGTCTCACCAACCCAATGATCTTCATAAACAGTAACATCTGGAAAGGGGAGAAAAAAGTTCTGATGATTCCATAAGTTCCTTCATACTGTCGTTAACTTACCAACCATAGCAAGATAGTATGCATGCCTCCACATACCAGGCAATTAAAGTTCAATATGTTCAATGATCTGCCTAAGGCACCAAATGATAAAATAGCAAATCCAAAATCTGACTCTACATATATCTGTATGCAGGTAAAATAAAAATAAAAAATTGCTTCTTTATATATAAACAGTATCAATAGAGAGTTCACTGCTCCACAGAGAACATTATTGGCTTTGTTTACATAAGATGCATGATACGATGTACATTTCTGATGAAAAGAAATCATTCAGGACCAAGAAGCAAAATAGTGGTTCCAAAGCAGTGGTGCCTAGGAGAGTAAATAGTATTCATTATGCATTCACCCCTCTGCTACAAACACATGAATATAACATAAGGCATTCTTGAAGGACTTTGATTAGTTTTCCCTAAATAGTATGGTAATCATCTGTGGGTGTTAAGAGGAAAAGACTTTGGAGGTAAGGAATATTTTCTAAAGGGGAAAAAAGCACTGTACGATCTAAGATAGAGAGGAATCATTTAGTGGAACTAAACATACCAACAGGTAGAAAGAATTACAAAAACAGATCCAGAGACAGAGAAGCATTGATCAGATCGTCAAACCTCAGAGGGAAGGTAGGGGAGGGTTGGGGTAGGGGGGAGAGATCAACCAAAGGACTTATATGCAAGCATATAGGCCTAACCAATGGACACAGACAACAGGGGGGTGAGGGCATGAGTGGGGGGAATGGGGGCGTAATGTGGGGATAAGGACACATATGTAATAACTTAATCAATAAAGAAATTTTAAAAAATAAATAAAACAGAAAAAAAAGAATTATAAATAGAGCAAAAACTGTAAGTTAGAAACAGAGAGAGATAGACTGACCCCAGGCAGGATATTTTCAGTGTATAAAATGTTAGAGGTATAAAGATATACTAACAGCAACAAATTAACTTGGAGATAATAAGAAAAACAAAGAATCATAAATTCCAAGTAATTCCAAGTAATTACTTCCGACTTTAATTCCAGACCTCAGTTACCCATTTATCCAAAACTGCCTAATGGACGTCCCTAAATGGAAATCCTATTGGCTCCCCAATCTTAGTATGGCTCAAACCTGCCTTTTCTTCTCAGATTATCCCTTTCATTTGTTGGCACTATGCTGCTAACCAGGTAAATAAAAATGTGAGGTCATCCTGAACTTCTACCTCTCTCTTCCCACCTTTGTCAACAACCCCCTAATTTTAACTCTGCCTCTTCAATCTCCCACAGCCCTGCCACTGCTACTGTTTACATCAGACACCTAGGAAGCCAAATCACGACCAAAATTGGCTAGCTACTCAGTGAGCACTGAATAGGAACAAAAGGAGTTAGATAAATTGATCTACCAGCAAATAAGATGATATTGCCCAGGGGACAAGATTATGCTAAGCCTGCTAGTTACAAGCCCCTGGTTGTCTCATTATTGGAGACAGCACCTAACAATCTTAACTACAAGGTACACTAGCAAAGGTTCTCATTCCCCCAGCAAACTGTTTAGTAGAAACTACTGACCGTTTTCTTGTTCTAAGCTTTTAAGGCTGCCCCTCTCCCTCTTCTCGATCACATTCTCTCTGTAGATGTGCTATTAAGCTTAATCAACTTCCTCCTGGTCTAAGATTCTTCCTTAAAATGACTGATATCTCTGCTCCAATACACTGTGTATTGATTTTAAATCAATAAGGAAATGTAAAAATATATTAAAACGACTGATATCTCTGCTCTAATACACTGTGCATTGATTTTAAATCAATAAGGAAATGTAACAAAATATTACATTTCTTATGTCAGGCAAAAAAAGCAGGACAAAAAAAACTGTGTTCTTAATGATTCCAACTATACAGGTGAGGATTCTGGAGTCCAGGTGAAATCGTCCTGGCTTTGCCACTTCCTAGAAATGTGACATTGGGCACACTTCTCTGGGTCTGTTTCCTCAAACTGAAAAATTGGAATAATAACCAGGACCTTCCTCATAGAGTTGTAAAGAGTTGATATACATGTAAAGTATAAAACAGGGTTTGATATACAGTAAAGTCCCAATAAGTATCAGCTTTTATATATGCATGCATACAAATTTTAAGAGGAAAGACAACTAGTAACATTCCAAAACTCTATTGGTGGTTATATGAGGTTGGTATAAAAGCAGGAGTTTCCCTTCCCATATTTCCAAATGTATTAATATAATTTCAATAATTTAAAAGTGCAATAGAAATTCTACATCGGTTCCCTCAATAAGAATATAATGTGCACAGCATTATTAAGGATTAATTAAGTAATAGAAATGCTGTCTTTTCATCATAAAACTGCTAATATAGTTTAAGAAAAGGGTTGGAAATAAGACACACATAGACATAACCATAAGAAAACAAAGAAAAAGCCTGATGATATGACCTAAATGCTAACATAAATGAATGAGTAGGAGGAGCAACCAGGGAAGAGTTCCTAGAGAGATGAGTGGAAAGGAGGGGCAGCGCAGAGAATGCCAGGCAGCGGTGGGGAGGCCAGCACTGAAGCTATGAAGGGGTCAGTCACATGGAGCCCAGACAGGCAGGGGAAAGAGGGAGCCCTCCAGCAGGAGGGAACAGCTACAGCTTTGTAAACTCACGACCACTGTTCTACAATGGCCTCACCTGTGAGTAAAATTATATCTCCAAGGAACACTGTCAGGGCCCAAAGTGCGGCAGTCCTCCACAGAAAAACCTTCTTCTTAATTTCTGACTGGTCAATTACCACAACTGTTGCTAAAGGCACTTTAGAGCCCGAATTTGGTCCAGATTTTATATTTATTTCTTTCACATGACATGGAGATAACACCATGACTAAACAATTATACTTCTGACTTTTGGAATCACAATTTTTTATTAATGATGTTTTCTTAATGCCCTTGAATTCCGACACACTCCTCTGGTCTTTTGCTGTAGTAGGACCTCCTGCATTAGAAACCAACTTAGTTTTCTTAGAAACTTGGAGGACTTTGAGATGGCCCGATTTGTCTTCAGAGGTCCAATTCCGTTTCGTAGGACTTTTGTGGAAGGCATTTGCTTGAGAACACAGAATTCCGGACCTACATGACTCAATACGTATCTCATTTGATGGAAGTTTAACTTCAAAACTGAAAAGTTCTTGAGATTCCACATTTTCTTTAAGACCTTTATCAGACTTTATGTGAATGTGGCTACTTTTTGTTTCAGGAAAAACAGGACTGAAAAGTTCAAGAGAATATGCTTGGTTTTGTCTACTTTCATATCTTCCTACAAAATCATCAGGCTGAATCAACTTATCTTTAATTATTTTTATTTCCCCAGGACTTGTTTCAGCTTCAACCTCTGTGTTCACTGTCCCTTTATTTATAGAACTCTCCCCTTTATTTATCCTTTGAGCTAAAAAAGCAAATTGGCTGGAGGTCATTATACTGAGGAATTCCGTTTCAGTAGATGCCGTAAGGTCTGAGACCTTCCTGACTGCTCCCGCAGACCTTGGCTTATCTCGTGTGGTCAAAGAGCTCTTTTCCAGACCCTGGTTTTGAATTCCATGATGCTCTGTTGGTATACACCTCATGCCGATAGCTCCTGGCCCTGTGTTAATCTGCTCAGTATTACACACCAAATCCCATGCAGTTGCACACTCATGGTCTAACTGAAAGAAATGTTTTTGGACATTTTGACCACATATATTTGATTGATGTTTATGCTGTTCAACTGTGATTTTCTTATTTTCACTGAAAAGCTTCTGATATTCTTCCTCTTCAGTTAAATGCTGAACTCGTTCTTTACATCCACATATTTGGACATCAGATTTGGTTAAGTCACTCATCCCTAAGGGGTGACTCTTCTGGAATTTTCGAGTCTGTGTTTCGGAAATACAGTGTATACAGTCATCGTTCACAGAAACAGATCTACTCAGAGAGCTTCCTAAACAATGACCATTAAGAAGATCTGGAGGGGCAGCAGCGTCTAGGATTTGATAATCTTCCACATTTTTATTCTTGCATTTTTCATCCTTCAGATGTAAAGAATGTTGATTGTATAAAAGCTGAACTTTTTTCCAGGGGTCAGTAGTGGACATTAAAGAAGTTGGTTCCTGTGATACCATCATTTTCAATGGACCAATTGGAGCACCCCAAAAAATGTGGATTTCAGAGCCTCTATTCATGGTTTCTAAAAAAATGAAAAATCCAAAATGAGTGTTTTATCAGATTTTTATATCTTGATAGCAAGTTAATAATATACCAATAGCAAATGAAATAAAAATAACTCATCAAAAACACAATAGAGGTGAGTTAAGATAAACAAAAATATCCAGAAAATATGCTCAGGTAAAGACTCTCTTAAATAAATTAAATGAGAGAGTGGAAGAAGATGGTGATGGAGTAAGTGGAAGTTACACTCACCTCCACACAGGCCAGAACTGGAATTACAACTAAAATACAGAAGAGTCAACTTGGATCACCGCCTGGAGACTAGCTGAAGAGAAGTCCTGTAACCAAGGACTTCCAGGAGGAGCCGCACTGAGACTGGGAGGCGGAAAGGGCTGGATCCACTCCCACAGGCAGCCGCTGAGAATCGGGACGGACATCTCAGCTGCAAAGTTTCCCCCTGAGTAATGTGGGGTCTCAACCCCTAGCAAGGCTCCCCAGCCAGAAGCAACAGAGCCAGTAGAAGCCCCCACATAACATCTGGCTGTGAAAATCAGCAGGGATTCTGTCCACCAGGGAGAGACAGGAGTCGGCTAGAAACCCAGGTGCCCACTTAAAGGGCCAATGCACAAAATCTTGCTGGCAACTACTCCCCCTTGACCCTGGTGGAGGGAAGGTGGCTCAGAGCAAACTGGAGTCCTGTGAGGACGGACTGGGTTGTGTGGCTCTGGGGAGGGAGCTGAAGAGACAGCCATCAGGGTCCCTGTGCATCAACCTGGGGGTACTGCACAAGCCCCACCCTCCAGCACCCTGGTGCTCCCTCTGGCTGAGCTCACACCCTGCAAAGGGATACCCTGCCTGGTGCAGACTTTTTTGGTGGGATTTTGAGGGTGAATTTGGGGAGGATCAGAGACAGACTTCTGTTGCCCTGGGGCAAAAACCATTTCCCCTCCCCCCATAGTGTGTCTCAACAGGGGATAGGGCCCCCCCACCCCATGGGCCAGATCAGGGGCAACACATTCCCCCCAAGGGAGATCCACTAACCCCACCATGGGAGAACTACCAGCTTCACCCTACCCTTCCAACTCCTGCTGGCCCCTCCCTGCTGAGCTTGCAATAGTGACAGCAAGCTGTGGCCAACCTACTGCCGCCACCACTCCTCCCTCCCCGCGCACCCCTCCTCCTCCCCGCCCTGACCCATCCCTGGCAGAAGACTCTCCAGGAGGTCAGGGCAAACTAGGAAAAAATGAGTTGTGTGGTTCTTGAGCGGAGCCATTATTCCCTCACACACCAGACTTGTGCCACCATTCCTGTGTTGAGCCCTCCATTCACACAGCCAAACCTTGGTCTGTTTGGGCTTGATGAACACTGCTGACTCACCCTAATGAATCACTGAGACCCTGCCCACCAAAAGCTCCAATGACACTGGCAGATGCGCAGTTGACCTTGGTGTACCCTGAGACCGTGGCTGAGTGCCTCAAACC